GTTGTATTGTGCAGAACTACAACGGCAATTGTAGTAGTTGCTTCTTAGTTTTCCCTTCTTCCTTTAGATTGCAGTCATTTAGAAATGATTATATGCATATTTTATATAAACAATAGACCGTACCAATATTCTTCCAACAACAAAAACATTTTTTCTTAAGAAAATGAGATCCTTTTAATGACCATAACAGCCTACTTTCCAAGTGAACACCAACTATATATTAGAAAAATGCAGGTTCTTATATGCGGTTTATCTACTGTACTTCCTTACCGCTTCGAACACGGAAAGGCTTCGTGGTCGGGGGGCTGGATGCAGAAACGGAGAGAGGGTAGGAGGCAGGGATAGGGCTTTTAAATTTACGTTCTTGGGCTAACGTTAAAAGAAATTCGCTTTTAAAAAATAACTTTGCATTGTAGTTTAGGTGTCATTTTTTCGGTCTCTTTAAATCTTGAACACGAGTGATTTGAAAATGCGGAAACACTAATTATATGGCACGGTTATTCTCCGGCTAAATTGTCTCCACAGTAAAAAATATCTTCCCTTTAACTGATTTTTTGCAGCTACTTCCACTGTGTGTCTGCATGACATGATGACTTTTTGTGCTCGTCAAACCTCTTGTAGAACATATCTCAATTATGATTTGTATCTCAGTACCATTCAGTTTAAAAAAAATTAAACTTGAAACTCTTAGAACAATCACAGTCTTTTGATTTATTTTGGCCACCATGACCTACAAAATTATATTGATAAGTTAATAAAGATGGTGAATTTTAAGCTCGGTAATGAAATGTGAAGGTGAATTAATCAACATGACACGAGCGTGGGACAAAGAAAAATTNATTCCTGTCGGGGACTCAGAATTTTTCTTTGTCCCACGCTCGTGTCATGTTGATTAATTCACCTTCACTTTTCAAAATTATATTACCTTCAAATTGATGGAAACCTGAAAATAATAAGTTTACTAAGATAGCGCAACACGAGAGAGATAATAATAACCCATAAAGAGACAAGGATGGTTACAAACGACGAACTTGAAAAATCTGGGCTAAATTTTTCAAGATGCACAAACTGTGACGTTCGCCATAATTTGGTATCGCGAAAATGAGGTCTCTACAATACAGGACTTCGCCCATGGGGGCGTAAGAAAATACATATTCCTATTTTAGACATGCGAGCAATATAACCAACTTGTATACGTATAAGTGCACTTCTCATCCATAAACTTTACCTCCATAATTAAGCGTCGACATTTTTTAGCTACATTCCAACATGGTGTTTTCTTGGCCTGTTTTTGTCAGTGGACTTTTCTGCCACATAGCTGTCCTCTGCACCGTAAGTACATAAGTTCAAAAAAACGCAGCAGCCCTGGTATTTATAAATTGAGGTCTGGGTAACATTGATGGATTATAGCTCAGCTAGAGGTTGTATAAAGATATGTGTGCCTTTATTAATACACAAATACTGCGTTGTAACGAGGAACATCACTCTGAGAATTCGATCATCCGATGTAGTTTCGCCTGCCGACCTCGTTGATCTGCTTCTTTTAGGGCGTAAAACTCAATTTCCGACGTATTGAGGTTCAAAAATTTGGGAATCGATGAAAGAGATTGATCAGGGCGAATTTGGGGTTTTGAGTACACTGGGAGAACAGGAAGCTTAGTAATCTTGCAAATGCATTCGCTTTCCAAAGCTAAGTTAGGGAATACAACCCTTTCAGAGCGTTTCTTTGGTACTGTTGCATAGCTGTAGCAGTGCAAGCTGGGAAAAACTTATTTCATGTAATATTTCACCAATTGCAAGGACAAAATTACTGCATAGCATAGAGATATTTATCGATTGCACCAAGAGAGGCAGCAGAATAGTCTCATTATCAGTGAAAATATGCCGCTCATCGGTGTTCCACTCAAAGCAGTATGCAGGATATTTGTCTTGTGAACCTAGTAATGGCCTTAGCCATCACGAATCTCTTGTAGGTCAGTGGTTCGACATCTAGACTAGTTACCGGAAGTTCTCTGATTCGACTCTGGCCTAACTGGAGAACTCGAAATTCTTTTCCCGAGTATGCTTGTGTCACTGAAAAATCTTCTTCTCATAAAAATAAAGCTTTTTTGTGTGTTGCTTTCCTTTGCAGGGAGACCTTATCTACCATCAGACCATGACTCCATTTTGGCTGGAGGCCCACGCCTCCTACATTGACAGTGCTCGGACAACAACCAACGAGCAGATCACATTTAACGCAGGCTCAACTAAACACGCACTTCTTCTAAAAGTTCCCATGATTCCTCCTGGTGTGTTCAGACATTCTACTCCGCTGACCATTCAGATAACAGTCGCCAACGATGTCAGTATTGGAGGAACAGAGGAGAGCGATAACAGATACGGTGTTTCGGATGGTACCAATTTCATGGGCTTCCATATCCCCGATAAAGCGAGCTATGTCAACCGTCCTCCATGCTATGGGGTTGAAGGCCCTTCTGGTTCGAGTCTGCTCCATTTAAGTTACATAAACCGTGCTTCTCCCAGACCGAGCGACAAATTCTATCCTGGCCAGTTTGTCATTACGCTCAAGATGGATGAACGCTGGGGATCGTGTTATACCGTACACGACGGAGGTTACACAAACTCTGGTGTTTTCAGCAGCCGACTGGTGCCTAGCAAGGGACTCACTTTAGAAGTTTACAAAGACGAGGCGGTCGAGAGAGTAGGGATCAAGTATATCAAAGTGGCTATCATAGAAGATGCTTAGAGCAAGAAACATTTTGAAATAAAGATCACGCACTTCATGTAGTCAATTCAAATTATTTTGTTGACAAAAATAAGGAGCAATCGTATCAGTTGACGAAATGAAACTCGGCATTAATGAACCCGTTCTATTCTCTCAGACCTCTCATATTGCCATTTTACAATTTTTATTGGAGTAAGAATTGATTGGACTGCATCAAATAAACATATTGTTCTTCGTCTTTCAGTAAACGAATAATGCAACGATGGAGTGTATTTTTTAATAGTTAATAATATACATGAAAAAATTACTCGATTCTGATTGGCTGAGAGCAGTGCAGTTCGAGTGTAACACCAGTGCAAAAAGTGTAACACCAGTGTAAAAAGTGTAACCCCAGTGCAAATTACACATTCTAATTCTGGATAATGATTGGCTGAGAGACAATAGCAAACTTGCTAAGCCAATGATATCAGGTAGAACGATGAAGGAAATTTTGTTCGGAACCTTTGAAAAGAGTTTCCTCGAACGAGAAAAAATGGCTTCAAAAAAGATCTTTCGGCATTTCCTCCATGCTAATTTTTTCATGTTTATATTATTAATAAGTAATCATACGGTTTTTCTCGTTCAATTTGGAATCAATTTGCACTTGTGTTGTGAGTTTTTCAAAACGCTGAAATTGCAGTCGCCGAAGCGGCTCGTGCAATTTCAGCTTTTTGTAAAACTTACTCGTGCAAATTAATTCCAAATTGAACTCGAAATCGTGTGATTACCTATACGTATTTTATTGATACAAACGTAATACAATATTACAACATATTACAAAAGTGAAGGGTATGTTTACCTCCGTCAAGGTTGACGGCAGGAATTTGTCGAATACTAGTGTGTCACTTAGAATGCCGCGACACATCCGGTACCTTTTCATAGTCCAGAGCACTACATTTGAAAAACTTTCACAACCAAAAATGCAACACTGTGACGGAAGGGAATGAGAGGACGAGGGCCAAACATTTCGCAGGGAAAACCGAAGCAATTTCGCGTATAGGTTCGTTTTCAGCAGGAGATACTTAAGTCTTAGCTCAGATTTGGATAACTAGTATAAAAATTAGCTTCAAAAATTTGAACAGGCAACAACTGTCTACATCAACAGGTGTTCAAAAGGCCGGTTCTACTAAAACACATGCATAAGAAACATCATTCTCGTCCCCATTGCTACTCGTTTTAAAATGTCAAAAGAAAAGAGGGCTCTGGGGATCTGGGGACGAGGGTGATCCGCTAGTGAAAACCTCAACACACCAATTCCAATATATTAAAATTCAGCCTAAAACAATAGACCTCAGCATAAGGTTCCGGGGATTAACTACAGAGTTCGTGGGGTTTATTCCCCAAAGCCTCATAACGAGGTCTATTGTGTTAAGCTGAATTTTAATATATCGGAATTGGTCTATTGAAAACCAGCCTTTTATTAGGCGCCAGGATTTCACGATATCAGGATTGCGAAAATAACAACTGCGGCAATATTTACATCTAAAAAATTCCCGAATGAAGTGCAAATGACGCGACTAGGTGCTTAAAATAAACAACCAAAAAAAACGTAAATCGTATTGTGAATCCTGATTGCACTCGCGTTCATACGATAACCTATACTAAACAACAAAAAACCCGCGAAAAAACGTAAATCGTGGTGTAAATATTTAATAGGCCACCTCTGAGTTGCCTTTTGCCTCTGTGTCAAAACGAGTCTTCGTGCGAAACCATTTATATGAAAATGTGTTCCGCCTACAGGTTCATTTTCATGCATATCAAACTCATTTTGATATGAAAGGTTTTGCTCGTAGACTCGTTTTGAAACAGAGGAACAAGGTAACTCGGAAAATAGGTTATTGCACTGGCATTCATACGATTACCTATACTAAAAAGACACATACATTATCCTTCGGTTGAAAAACAAACAAAAAAAAGTCAAGTAAGACAGTAAACCTTTATATTTCCAGGGTGACTCTATGCTATGATTAGAGACCCTGCTAAAAATAAAATATATATATATATATATATATATATATATATATATATATATATATATTTAAAAACCTTCAATGCTTAAAAATAAAACTGCTAATAGTGCAAAATAAGGTCCCGAAATCTTACAAAAAGATCCTTAAAGAAGGATAATTCCATGAGTTTGAATATAACGCCAGCTCTTTTGAAAACAACAAAATGCCTCTCGATTATGAAGCAAATTACATTCCTTGTATTTTATATCATATCTTGCAGGGAAGTTCGATGATAACCCAACTATTGCAAAATTTGAGCTGCGTTTCTGATCATTTTGTTAGCGAGTGTAGTATTCTCACGAGCACCTAATTTAATGAAGTCTGGTCCGAATACAACCAGATATGACAATTATTGAGACACAAGATTTCATCCAATAATACTTCTCCGAAAATATGCCCAGTCGAAAATAAGCCCTCCACAAGCCTTTTGAACAAAAATTAGCCCGTAGCTTATTCTCGGAATTTTACAGTATTCCTTTAATATCTTAAGCCAGCAAACTGCGTCAATATTTCACATTCCGCTTCAACCACAGGAAAAAAAAAACACTAAGACCAGTAAGATGACAAACGCTTGCATTTCCTTAATAACAGAAATGAAAAAAAATTGGTCAGCTGACTAAATTAAGATGTTGCATGACCGCAGTAGTTAATTTTGGATCACGTTCAGGATGTGAGTTAAACGATTATCTTCTCTTTCCTTTTGAACATATAAAAACTTTATAAAGGGCTTATGTAAACTGATATTAACCAACTGAGCGAGGTTTCCGGGGATTAATTTTCTTGGTTACATCGATCCTAAGAAACAACGTGTTTTCATCCAATTTAAATGTTAAAATAATCTGTCCCTGGGGCTTTTAACTCGTTAAAATTTGTATAAAAAAGTTGGAAACCAAACATTACGAATTGTGAACACGAAGGCGACTGAAAGAAGTTCGCCGACAGGCGCTTAAGATATTGTATATTATTATTATTAGTTTTGATTGGGGGATGCGGAAGGGCGGAGGAGTTGGGGAAGGAGAAGTGGATAAGTGGGTCACTTGTCCAAAGAACAATTTGCAGCGCTGCTTGATGAGCGATATCGTAATCATATCATGAATGTGAACAATTTGACAAACTCGCATATAGATGAAGTGCACACTTTAAAACTTCGACTTTTTTTTATTTTCAAGCAAGCCATTTGTTCATTTGTTACTTACGTTGTGACATCAGTATGAAGTTCACTTGGATTCTTTCGGTTACTGTGGTATTCTGCTATTTAGCCGTTTTCTCTACCGTAAGTATACGTATTTTTATTTCGAGATGGGTGCAGTTTACAATTTTTTTTATTGATATTAACTCGAGTCGATCGAGCGATCAGTGCTATCCTATGGAAAACTTGTACATGAATCTAAAGCTATTTGCCACCGAAGAAGAAACGCAATTTGACCGAATCTCGCTAGTGTTACATCATAAAACCAGTGTGGTTGGTTGGTTGGTTGGTTGGTTGGTATAATAACAGTCGACCTTAGCACGCATTCTATTTTGACGTCCGATGGACACAACTTAATTTCGAGACAACCATGGGAAATCAGAAATTCAAAAGCCCAGCGTCAATTTAGACCCAATAGCATGGATTCATTGTATTAAGTTGCATCGTTGATTGATTTTATGCGAAGTCAAATTTACCGCCCGAGAGAAAGCATGGATAGTCTAGGATTTATTAAAGAATTCAAAGCCTAGTACTTATCGCTGTATCAAGGTATTGATATCAAGGAATCTTGCCCTCCGTTTATCAGCCATCTAACTAATTCAGTCCCCTAATTGTGTCTTAAGAGAGCAAATGGAGCCCAGCGAAGGTTAATTTTCAAGGGATTTTTGAACCATACATTAAACATCCTTGTAGTCATTTGGCGATTCGCTTCCATTTCCTAGTCGATAATGTTTATATACTGGTATCGAAACACGCATTGGATCGTGAGCGGTCCAAATCTATCCTTTCCTCTGGCCATGGACCACGTATAAGGCGATTAAGCGTAGCTGCTTCTGGTTAAGACTGCGGACGCAGTATAAGTCATCGTAATCGGGTTTTCGATTTGGAAGTAAGAGATTTCTTTTACATTTCGGATATGCTAGTGAAACATTTCTCGATAGAACTAAATTTCGTAGTGCCATCTGTCCGTGTGAAAAAGTAATTTATGTTATATGTTCAATTTGAATTAGTTGTTTCAGTTGTTTGCTCGGCTCCACTAGCCTTTGTGCTATAAACGCTGCCAAGGGTGAATAAAGGTTATATTATTATATTAATAAGTACGAAATTTCGATGTTTACTCAACATTCCTTGTTCTCTTGAAAATTTGGGGATCTGAAAACAAAAGGAAAAATTAAAGCATGTGGCTGTTATTATATTTCTTTTAGCCATGTCGAGAGTTAGCCCTTACTTTGATGAATACTCTAAGTGTTTTCCTATTATATGTAGCAGCTTTTTATTTCCTTGTTTGTTTTATTAGCAGGGAGAAATTATTTACCATCAGACCATGACGCCATCTTGGTTGGAGGCGCATGCGTCATATCTTGACAGTTTTCGTACAGCAACCGCTGAACAGCTGACATTCAACGCAGCCTCAGTGGATCACGCCGTTCTTCTAAAAGTCCCCATGATTCCTCCTGGTGTCTTGAGAAGTTCCACACCGCTGACCATTGAGATAACGGTAGGGAATGAAGTTAGCATCGGAAAAACCTCTGACAGCGATATCAATTATGGTGTATCAGACGGTACCAGATTTATCGGGTTTGAAACGTGCGATAAGAGAAATTATAACTTCAAATCCCCATGTTACGGGATAGAAGGCACGTCTGGCTCTACTCTAACTTCGTTTCGATATACTGCATTTACTCCCAAGCCCATCGACTCTTTCTACCCCGGTCAGTTTGTCTTTACTCTCAAGCTGGATGAACGCTGGGGCTCCTGCTACACTGCGCATGACGGAGGTTACGTGAGGACCGCTGGCTACAACAACCGACTGATGCTCAACAAGGGACTCACTCTTGAAGTTTATAAGGAACACGGAGATACGGTTGGGATCAAGTTCATTAAAGTCGTGATCATACAAGACAATGCGTAGAACGTGGAATGAGGCAAATGATTATGTTCTGTATAATAATTTGATTTGATATTCTGATAACGTAACTGGCCCCTATAACGTTCGATCTGCATTTTCTCATATTTCATTACACGACTAAGCTATATCAGAGGGCCAATAACTATTTTCGGTAGAATAAAATTGCTCTATTGCCGGTTACTGTCTCTTATGGTTTCACCAATCTTGTTCCCAGGCCACCGGTGACCGTTAACGCCCGAGCTCTGGGGACGAAATTGTGGTTTCGCATGACCACTCTTAGAGGTTTTCTAGACTTGTGGTTTTACGGCTTGCCTAAAAAAATAACCTTTTCTTTCTTTTTCTTTCCCTTCCGACTTGTTTTATTTTTGAAAACGACAGACATTTACTGTCGGCTCTCAGCGAGGGGTACACAACTAGCTAATTTGTCAGAATTCATCCTATCATCAAATAAGCATCTTTAAAAGAAGTTTTCTATCTGTATTTTTTTTGTTTTTTTTTTTTTACCGCAGCAATGTTTGAACGTGTGCTTCCCAGAAAATTTCTCGTCAACATTTTCCAGGCATAACAGACACAGCACCTAGATAAATTATATCCGAGTTACGTTAATTTTACATCTGCTTCAAAACTGGTCTTGATGAACACCCTCTCATATGGAAACGTATTCGATTTCCAAGACAATGAACGTACAAACAAATTCCGGAAAATGCTGTTCTTTTCGTCACTGGAAATCTTCAAACCGGAAATTTTCATCGAACGGAAAGTGCCCCTGATCTCCATACGAGTGGTTGCGGATCTACTCTTGTTGAAACAGATATAAATAGCAACTCGGAACTGGCTAAACAGACTTAGATGAGTAGACTCAGTATCATCTACATCTTCAGTGGGAAAGGGGAGGACTTGGGCGGATCGGTGTGGTTTCAAGGTCATATCTACACACCTTCAGTGTATGTAATGGGTGCGGAAAGAGGAGGGGCGGCGTAATTTAGAAAAGCGAGCAGGCGCAACCAGTCAGCAAGAGACTCCGACTTAGACCTACCGTGTGGCACTAATTTTTGCGGGTTCTAATTTTTGCGATTTTAGCGGTTTTTTCGCGATCTGCAAAAGAAAAAACAAAAGGTCTCACGTAAAGAATCTTTGTGCTTCCATTTATTTAAAACGTCTTTTTCGTTCAGAAACAAAACGATGAAAAGTTATTGCTGATCCATTGCCGGAGCAATCAGCCACACAAGAACACGATGTGATTGTCACAGAGTGACACTGATTACTGGATTACTTGTCTTTAACATCTCTACATGTTGTTTTAATTGTAATTTCAATTGATCGAAACTTTCCGAGAAACGAAACAATTAATACTCTGACTTTTTACAATCGCAAATATTAGTTCCCGCAAAATACAAAAAATCGCCGATTCGCAAAAATAAAACTCCCGCAAAAATTTAGTGCAACACGGCGGGTAAACCAGGCTGTGTGGACATGGGTTTTCCGATTCGTGTGGAGAACGGATATTGCTAGCAACAGATCCTTTACGCTCCCCTAAATAACCTGTCTTGGACGCAGTTAAAACGAAAATAGCACTGACCGTTTACACAGTCACATAACGTTTTAAGTAACGTGGAGTGATCGATTATTGCTCGTGTAAAACCACTCCCACAAAATTATCAATTTCACTGCACTTCTCCCTCAGCTTCTGCCAAAAGCTAACTACTTCCTTAAGAATTCAGTCACGCAGTGGCTAAGGCGACAGTCCACAAATATTTGCGTCCAAATGCAAATTTTTCAAACCAGGAGACGGAATTAAGGTACCACGGCGATTGATAAATTGCCGGAACGTTTGTACAATCGTTCATCAATCCAGCCTATCTGGTCCACGATCAAAAAAGAATGGAAATAACTAATACGAACTGAAGAGTAAGCAAGATTATCCAGTAGTTCTTAAGCTCTGTTTCACCGCAACGAAACTCGTAATCGGCCCGGTCAAAGTTAGTTCAGATTACGTATGTCTTGAATAATTAATGAATCAGCGCGAAAAAGTTCGCGTTGTATATCTTAGCAAAGGAACAAAGGCATCCTAGGCCACGTCACTCGATTCTTTAGTATCTGTTGTGAGGTTGAAGAGAGACCGAGGTTGTTTGAGATTTTATTCCTCAGAAGGAATCATGAAGATTTTCTCGATCTTTTGTACCACTGCACTGATATTTATGTGGATTGCTGTGAGTATCTTTGAGACGCTATTAATGATTTTTAAAACCAAGATACAAGTCCGTAATAGGTTTTAGCAAAGCGGTCAGTTTACGAAGCATGTCTAAATCTTTGCAACAAGTTGAGAATTACATTTGGCAAACTGAGCCGCCTACTGTGCTTTCATCGCCTTTTGTAAACTTTTTTCAATTTTACTACAGTAGTAATTTTGTGGAAAACAAGACACTTAGTGTTAATGCATTTTGCCGTCTTTGCGAATGTGTCGTTCATATAGCTCTCACGAAAGCTACTGTGTGTCTTTTGGCTTCTTCGTCCCTCTCTCTTGTAAATATCCTTATTTGATTTCAATGTAACCTAAAAGTGCAAAACAAATTTTGGGAAAAACGAATTAAGGCCATTTGACAAAACATGTTTTACACTCTTCTCGAGGTAGAGATTTGTCTAGGGCAACCTGACTGTAAACGAGATTTTTAATTCAAAGTCACAAAATAAATATAAAATTCAAGACGAGTATTTTAAACGCTTTTCGATTTCAGGTGGAGCGTGCTGCAATTGGAGAAGGTTTTCCGCTGTTAGAATCCTTGAGCTACGCAAAGGTGAGATTAAAATCTCTACCGATAACATGTAACATTATAAAACACTCAGTTACCGTAAACACCGGCGGATAAGCCGCACTCGCAGATAAGTCGCACCCCGAGTTTGGCAACTCAAAATTCGGAAAAAAAGATTTTGGAAAGAAATCAAAATAATTCACAAATGGAGTCTTTGAGAAAGACTCTTTTCATGCACATTTCTTGATGAACATTTATTTAACACAAGGTTAGTTAGTGTGCTTATAAATCTGGATGAGTGATATCGGTAAGTTTCCCATTTACGGTCTTTTATGGGCAAGATATCACTGTCATTGCATTTGTAGAGCAAAGAAAACAGTGTACTTCGGGTTCCAGTGATGAAATCGATCCAAGTTTAAATCAATTTCAGCTTGAAAGTTGAAGATTGGAGATATGCCTCCAAGTAAAACGCTTCATATGATAAAGGTTAGTGTAATATAGATAGGACCCTACGCGCGCTCTGATTGGTCAAAAACCCACGTTTTACCAGAGTATAAAACAGAAAAAGCGTGTTTTATTGTTTTTCGACACATTACTGTACGGGTCCGCAAATGATCCCAGGACCGCAAATGATCCCGGACCGCAAATGATCCCCAAATTGAACCGCAAATGATCCCGGACCGGAAATGATCCCCATATTGGACCGCAAATGATCTCGATCAAAAAATAAGGAATGGCATGGATGGTGGGATGGTGTGGATAGGGAATTGGCGTACGTGAATACCGATGTTTTTATTAAAGCCATCTTATAAT